AGCTAGTAGACTAGTTAGTTTTTCACCTGTTTTTAAACTCTTGATTATTTACAGGTTAAGTTTTAGGCAAATATCAATAGTACAATTTGTATATATAATCTAACTGTTGGGGGGAAAAAGATGAATTGGAAGAAATACTCTTGAGAAAGTAGTTGGAAAAACACAGATTTGAACTAACTCTTATGAGTCACATGACAGAAAAACAGTAAAAGCATACATATTGAACTTTGATCTTGTTTCTCTCCCAACAGAATGTAAACAAGTGTCCACATGTATATGAAAACTACATGACACAGAATTTGAGTTCTAAATCAAGTTGCATCAACAGTATGGTTTGATAGCAACATTTATATCTAATATAAATCTTATACACATTACATTAGTGTAAGAATTAACTTGCTTGAAGTTCTTAAACACTGAAAATTTTATCACTTACAATATATGAAAATTTATATTATTTCAGCAGCTCTCTAACAAACTAATTTTTTGCTGTAAGTGTCCCCAAACTTGCCACATTTGGACTTGTAAACAACCCTCCTCACAAATAAGAACTTTGACTAGTAGGTGTGTCAGATGCTATCCGCTCCAGCTGAGTGTTGAAAGGTAGTAATCTTACTGTTCAGAGTTTAAATCGAGCACCTACCAAAGGCAGTTCAGTGTCAGGAAAAATATTAACCTGAAACTTGTCTATAGTAATCAAAGTTAAGCCTGTAAAACAGAAAATGGATGACAGTTTAATGTCACACACCATGTTATCTTCTACAAAAATCTATTTCTTCAGTCTTTCCAAGAACTGTATCTTTCTAGCTCTTAAATTACTTCTCCTCTGGTTTTGTGATTAAACAGAATGTACTAATGCCTGCTACCAAGAAATACTTTCTTCTTATGTAAAGAAAAGAAAAGAAGCCCCTTCCCATTCATTACAAGCTTCTCAGTCAAATGAGAATCAGTTGTGACTAAGAATGTCATGATATAGTTGTCTTAGTAACATCAGGCATAGGAAAATCTTTCAACCAATAATTTACAGAAGTTACTTGTGTTGCATTTGCCCACAAAAACCTTCACATGCCCTCTCATACTGCCCCATAGGAATTAGAAAAACTGTCAAAATCTGTAAAGCAACTACCATCCTTTCTTTCAAATGCCTCCAAAAATCACCTCTGCTGTGGTAAAGAAAAGTTGCCATCTAGCAATAGCTAGGCAGATGCCAAGTTATGACTACTGTTATTCTTTAGTCTTATTATACCTACAAGTTATAGATATAGCGAATCCAAACTAAAATATATTACTATTGTCATGGTATCCTCCCTCACTCCTTATTTCAGCTAATTTATAACTTGTCGTTTAGACTGTGAGCTCTCTGGGGCAGAGACTGTTTGTTATGTTCAGACAATGCTTGGCACACAAGAGCCACAACCTGACTCAGACTTACAGATGCCACCACAAGAAAAATAAAATATTGTACCTGGTACCAGAAACCTGTGATTAAAAATACAAAATTAATTTGGAATTAAAAGAGAGAGTACATAACATTACTTGAAGGATAAAAAAGTTACATGGCCCTTGTAATTATTCCCCAAACAAGAATACAAATACAGAAAATACAAAGTTGAGATTAAACGGAAATGTGCAGTTTATGAAATCCAAACATGTTAAGGTTGTTTGGGTGCCTAACTCTGCCCTATAGTGAAATCATCCATAATCATTCAATTACAATTAGTGCATGTTTTTGTAGTACGTTAGATTAAACTGATTTTTAGAGAGACTTCATTCCCTCCCCCCCATCCTCATTGTTTCGTTAAGGTTTTCTTTGGGTGCCTTAACCATGCATTTCCATAAGTTAACATATTTTTATTTCTTGAAAGCACAAACTTAATTAGCAAAGTCCTTGTTTTTTAAATTACTAAAAATTTCATACATAACCTGGAAACAAGGTGGGTACGTGCTCTTTTGGGGGGTGTTCTTTTAAAAAAAAATATTAAGTTTTAGAGCCTCATTCACCAGCCTACTGACTGTGTTACCTCACTCTACAGCAGTACAAAGTCAGAGTGTACTGGCCAGCCATGTCCCCTACGTTCCCCTGCACACACAGTTTTCCCTCTAACTACAGCTCCTCACATTCACTCCTGCTTTCCTTGTTGCGCAGATGTGGTACAACATATAATTTTGTAAAATACCTTTTTAGCATTAGTTACGTTTTGACATTATTCTCCATTGCTGAAAGTTTCTTCTTCAGCTGAGGCAGATGGACAATATTTCTTCTGCAACAATTTCCACAAAGAATTCACCTCTTCCATGACGGTTGCCATCTCCCAATGCTTTCGAAGTGGGGTTAAAAGTATCTTTAGCTAAGATATATTTTCAAAATGGTCAATGCATTCCACCAGAAAACGTAAGTGTGAAGCTTAGTTGCCCTCAGAGAAAATAATGCTGTCAGAGGCCACCATTTTCTCTGAGAGAACTAGGCTTCACTTTGACTGTCTCTACCATCAGCGGAGATACACTAGTACTAAGAACAGAGAGAATTTTTGTTGTTTTTTTTAAAAAAAAAAAAAAAAGTGGGGGCATTTCTTAGAATTCATAACATCATTGTTAAAGCTGCAGAGGATTAACTGGGGTGCCAGTATTTTATTATAGCCCCGTTTACACTAGGAAATTTACCCATTGCAACCATGCTTTCTTCAATTTTGTTGAACATGGTTCCATATTGTCTACACTTGTTCTTAACGCTTTTTAACCGTATTTCGCTTCCAGTCACTACTGATATCTGTTAGCAACAGGCGAATTTCCTTTTGTAAGCAAGACTTAGGCTTCCCCCACCCGCCATGCGCTATTTGCTCAGTGAAACAGTTATGTACTGACATATTCCCTCCCGCCCCCAATATTTACTGAATACTGATACTTACTGTCTAGTTATAAATTATTTGGATAAATCTGATACTGTTGGCCCAATTCTCAAGCCCTTATTCATGTACCTACTCCTTACACCTAATAGTTGTTCCATTGACTTTGATTGGGTAACTCATATGAGTAAGGGTTGGAAAATGGCTCCAACGTCCACTTTAAAAAACTGAAACTATTGTTGCCTGTTCAGGTATCAGCAACTAAAGTGACACATTGTATATGTACACTTTTTTAGGATACCCTATATATTTGTATGACCAGGAAAAAAAAATAACAGCTTAGATTGTCACTGTGTTTTTCCCTTTTGGCCATGAGCGCTAATAAATTCATTAGTTATCTGTTATAAAATGAAGAGTATCTTCAGGCCAAACTTAAAATTCATTGATTAAATATGTATGAAGCTTTGAAGTTACAGACCTAAAATTGTTAATTCTCATGTTCAAATAGTTTCAATTGTTAGTGACAAGTCTTAACGGTGTCACTGATGATCCCCTACAGCACTTGTGCAACTCAGAGGTGCTACTGAAATTAACAGTTCATACCAGTTATGTGCAATAAGACTAGCATTGTTTTAAAATATTGATCTACTATAGATGTGTAGCCCATTACCATAGAGACTGACAGCACCCCCTAAAACTGTTTGTTTGGAGACAGCATTAGAAGAAAACGCTCTGTTCAGAAGACATTTTCTAAAAATCAGTACAAATGTACTGTTCACTTGAGAACAATTCTGCAGTGTACTCAGCAACCTTCGTTTCCACTGAAGCTGACAGGAGTTCAGGGTTTTCAACACTACAATATGGGGTACTTAATACTTAATCTTTTTCTAGTGCATAAAATAAGATAAAAATATTTTTCTTAACTTAAATCAATTTTATGTTTATAACCTCCCTTCTACAGCCTAATATTTCTTCCATGATGTGCACATTTAATGGCGTTTTATCACATGGCTGTTCAAGCAGTAGGGTGCTGACATTTACTATATAATTTTTCCACCATTAAGCTTTTCTAGGGGGGAAACAAACACCCACATAAGACGGCAACTTTAAATAAGTGAATGAACGTCAAACAGGAAAAGGTCAGGCTGTTTGGGTTTGCAAACTTTAACTGTGTTAGTTTTAAGTAATACATTTCAGCCTGTGATATTTCTTAAATTTGACCAACAGAAAAAGGATAATCTATAGATGGGGACTCAAAATAGGTGGACTCTGCTTCCAGCTCAGAGAGACCTTCTTAGTGACCCTGGGCAATCTCTCTGTACCTCAGTTGTTCATTCATAACATGGGAATACTACTACTCACCTACCCCTCATAAGTTCATATGCTACGGTGATGAGTGCTACCCAAAAACCTTAAAGTTCTGCAGGGGCAAAGACTATCTTTTCTAGATCATGGGTGTCTAGTACCTAGCATAACAGAGGTTTTAGCCCCAACTGTGGCCTCTAGGTGCTACCACAATATAAACAATAATGAATAGTAGTAAGTGTAAGAAATATCATTAGGACTGCCCTTGTGAAAGGAGTACTTAAAAAAGCAAAAGTCACCTTGTAATACTGATTTATTTTTTACAATATGGTTCCCCTTCTGTGTCCCCCCCACCCTACCTTCAAGAAGCTTTATAAGGCACAAGAATATCCAAGTAACTGACTGGCCACTGACATGCAATTGCTTGACAACTTGGATACACTGATGAAACCTCCAGGTTATTAACAGAATAAAGTCTCATGCCCCTCATCCCCTCAAAACATAATGCCTGTCCTTCCTTCCACCTGTAAAAAGCCCTCCCATCAGAAACACTTTATTATGTAACTACTTATGTAGCTCCCATCTCAGGAGCCTCCCATATATCTAAAAAACACGATTAACTCTGGTTGATAAAGAAACATGATTTCAGAGCTCAGATGATTTTCTAGACCAGCCAGCCAAGAGCTGAAGAGATTCACGTAAACCAGAAAACTTCTGCACTTATAAGCAAGATCAATTTGAAGAAAGGGAGCCCGATTTTACACCAGTTTTTCCAACCCGCCCACAAATGGAAAATAAATGCCTCTTCCTTCCTAAACCAAAATTTGTGTGTGTAATTACACCCAGGCTTACATGGTTTCTTGGCATCCTTGATCTTCATGTCTTTGCAGTTGTAGTAGCTCTGTGTAGCTGTCTCTCCTGATATCGGTGGTGCGAGGAGCAGGAGCAGCACCTCTGGATGGGTCTCTTTCTCTCTGTCTCCTGATGGGGCGGGAAGTGTCAGCAGCTTGTCAGGGCTGAGTCTCTATCTCCTGATCTGGGGCGTTGGGCTCGTGGGTGGTAGAGAGCAGCAGTTCAGAGTCAGTGGGCGTCTCCTCAAGGTCTGGGATAGCAGCAGCACCTGATCTGTTTGTCTAGTTCAGGGGAAGAGGCACGAGCTTGGGGGCAAGAAAAAATGTCTCCTCCCTAGGTTAGGCTGGTAAGGAGTGTCTCTCCAGGCTGGGTGGAGTAGAGGCAAGGACCTGGCCCTTGGGGTCCGGGCAGGGCTCCGTTAGGAGGGCCCGCCTCCTCTAGGGGATGGTGGCATCAGTTCTAGGACAGTGCACGTCCTGCTGGGGTGGACACGGCTTCCCTCTCTGTGGGGCTGCTCCTGTTCCGGTGGCAGGACCTACGTAGGCTATGGGTGAAGGGGGTTTGGGGGAAGAGGAGTGTGCTCCTGCTAGCAGCACCTACAGATCGGGGTGTAGCTGGCTCTAGACGGGTGCGGCGGCAGGCCTGTGGCAGGGGGGAGCGGCGGATGGGAAGCCGCTCTCTCGAGGCGGGTCCTCCTTACATTCAGAGGTTACTCTGCCGCGGCAGGGCCTTGAGGCGAGGGAAGAGGGCCCAGGCAGTTGGGAGGAGAGGGGCGGCCCCACTCGCACTCCACCTTCGTGGCCTGGGCTCAGGGTGCCTCACTGGGCTCCCACCAGCACAAGATGGCGGCCGGCACCGGGGAGCCGCTGCCGCTCTAGGGCTCCACACAATGGGGAGGGAGGCTCAGCGGCTCCTCAGCTTCGAGTCCGCCCGCCTCGATCGCCGCTGCCGCAGCGCTGCCCTCTCCGCCCCGGCCCCGGGGTCCCGCGCAAGGAACGATGGGAGCCGCAGTCTGTTAGGCGCCTAGGAGCCGTTCTCTACCTACAGCGCCCAGCATGCCCCGCGCCACCCTCCGCTTTCCACCTTCTGTGCGCGTGGCACGATGGGAGATGCAGGACGTCAGGGGCAAGCAAGCAGGCTTTGCCTACGGCTCCCAACAGGCAGCGCGGCCTCGGCGCCCCAGCTCCCCCCCGCCGCAAGAACAGCACCGCTCACCCCACCCACCGCCGACCAATCACAGACCGCCGCCTCTTCCAGCTCCCCCTCCCCCTGCCGTCGCCTGTTCCTGCCGCGGCCCGCTCATCTTTCTCTCTCGCCTCTCCCCAGGCTTGTGTAAGGAGTCAGGCATTTCCGGGGGAGCCCCTCCCCCGCAACGCAGCTGAGGGGACAGCGAGGCGAACTGGCGCTGGCCCTTTAAGAGGCTGAGTGGAAGGGGTGGAAGAGGAGCAGCTACCCTCCCAGGAGATGTGCCTGTGCTCTTTGTGCCGGCTCCCTTCCCATACAGGATGGGCTCCCCCGCCCCTGGCTACTGCGCCTGCCCTCGCTGCTCTGGCCTGGTCTACACTACAGGGGAAGGGCGATATAAGTTGCCTCACCTTGACCTAGCTGTGGACGTGTCCTCACTTAAAGTTGTCTCCCGCCAAATGCCAACGTAAGAGCCTGTCTCCGGTGGTTTAGTAACACCACCTTCCTGAGCAGCCTTGCGGAACACTACTTTATTAGGTCGATGCAGTGTCAATATGGACATTGGTTATGTTGACTTTACTAGCTGTCAGGACCCATCCCGCAATGTCCCACACTGACAATACAATCAGTACAAGCGCTCCTGGTGAAGACGTGCCCCATTGACACAAAGAGCCACGTGTGCACACACACAAGCGATTTAATAACTCTGATGGCCATAGGCTGGTGTAAGTTTGGCCAAGTTTTGCAGTATAGACATAGCTTCTACTGGCTCCAAGGCTTGGCTCAGCAGGGGCTGGAAGCAGCAATGACATGCAGGTCCCACTGCTTGGGGGAGGTGCCCTGGCAGCAGCTGAGAAGGACCCCAGACCGGACCCTTGCCTTGCCTCAGCCTGCCTCCTCTTCCCTCCCTGCCCACGTCACCGAGTGTGTTAGCAGCTCCCACCACTGTTTTGCAGCTGAAGCCAGACTATACCTACCTTCTCAAATGAGCTTGCACAGACACATGAGAAAAAGGTAAAAACACCCTCTCACCTGGGGCAAACACCACAAAGTCATCGCTCCATGTCTGGCTTCTCAGTCCTCATCCTCATGGGAAAACTGCATAACACCTCCCAAAAATGAGCCTGGGAGCTTAAATTCATCATTGTGCTAGATTGGGGTGGGCAAACTTTTTGGCCTGAGGGCCACAGCGGGGTTCCGAAACTGTATGGAGGTCTGGGTACGGAAGGCTGTGCCTCCCCAAACAGCCTGCCCCCCACCCCCTCCCACTTCCTGGCCCCTGACTGTCCCCCTCAAAACCCCTGACCCATCCAACCCCCCCGCTCATTGTCCCCTACTGTCCCCTCCCAGGAGCCCCTGCCCCTAACTGCCCCCCTGGAACCCCACCCCCTATCCAAACCCCTTGTTCTCCACCCTCTTACCATGCTGCTCAGAGCACCAGGACTGGCAGCCGCACCGCCTGGCCGGAGCCAGCCACGCTGCTGCGCAGTCTAGAGCACTGGGGCAGGCTGGTGGCTCTCACAGCTGCGCTGCCCGGCAGAAGCTCACAGCCCTGCCGCCCAGAGTGCTGGCAGCACAGCAAGGTGAGGCTGCGGGGGAGGGAGGACAGCAGGGGAGGGGCCAGGGGCTAGCCTCCCCGGCCGGGAGCTCAAGGGCCGGGCAGGACGGTAGGCCGCAGTTTGCCCACCTCTGTGCTAGATACTAAAAATCCTGGTGTGAATAGAGACACTGGATTTACATCTCATTACAGCAATCTGTAACCCACTAATCCTCCTTTGTGCTATGACTGCAGAGCTGTTAATTGCCAACTTCATCTTGAATGGTCTCTTCCAACATGTGGTAACTCCTTATGCTTAACAATCCTTTCCACCTTGTATTAAAGGCTAATCTACACTACCGCGGTAAGTCGACCTACACGACGCAACTCACGTATTCACATAGCTGGATGTCAATGTACCTTAGGTCGAGTTACCCCGGAGTCTACACCGCGGGGGGGTTGATGGGAGAAAAATCTCCTGTCGACTTACCTTACTCTTCTCATTGGGAGTATAGTACAGGGGTCAACTGGAGAGCCATCTGCAGTCGATTTGGCGGGTCCTTACTAGACCCGCTAAATCGATCGCTGGTGGATCAATCTCAGAGAGTTGATCCCTGCTGTAGTGTAGACCTGCCCTAATTGACATTCTGAGAGCTTGTCTACATTTAGAACACTACAGCAGCACAGTGTAGACACTACCTACACTGATAGGAGGGATTCTTCCATCAGCATATGTCAAGGCTGATTCCCCACTCTGGCACTTCGAGTGCAGAAGGCGGGGGCCCGCAAGGATTCTAAAAATTAATACTGGCCACTCCAAGCTTGTATTAAACTCCCAATGTTACAGCTTCTCTCTGACCTTGGACGGGTAGATGCTGCCACCACCCAAACGCAAAAACAAACAAAAACACACCCCTTTTGAGATCTCAGAAAGGCGCACTTGGGAATTCCTTCCTGTGGGGTACCATCAAGACCTTTCACCCCCCCCTTCCGGGGAAGAACTGAGAAAGAAAAACAAAGGAAATCAGCTGTTGCCACCAGCTAATTAAACATATGCACAAACCTCGTAAGGACACAAAAATCCAATCCTGTTCTTAAAAAAAGGTAAATTTTATAAAAAAGAAAGACAATACATCTGGAATTTAGGCTTTTTGCTATATCTTAAAAAAAAACAATTACAGAAATTAAGCATCAAGACAGCTCTCTTGAGGTTCAGCTTAAAGGTTACAAGCAAAACAAAAGCACCTGGGGTTAGCACAGAGAAGTTCACAAACCTTACAGAAATAAAAGAAATAAATCTAATCGCATCTTCCTTGACATTCCCTGATCTACTTACATATCTGGGGTTTCAGATAAGTAGGTTCGAGGTATAATTTGATGATTTTTCATACCTGGTTTTTAAAGCTTCCTACAGCATAGTTCAGACCTGTTCCTGCTCTCTGTCCCCTCTCTCCGAACAACAACAGACAGCAAAAGGGGAGTCTTGTTTCAATTTTAAAAAGTTCTAGCCTTCCCATTGGCTCTTTTGGCCAGGTGTCCACTCACTTCCCTTTACCTATGCATGCAGTCAGACTTTTTAACCCTTTACAGGTAAAGCAAGTAGAGAACAGCTACCAAGAGGGATTGTGGACAACTGGCAGGCTGGGTGTCCACAAAAGGGAGCTATCCCCCCTCTCATTTATCACAGCATAATTAATCCACCTTCCTGAAAGGTAGTAGCTAGATTTACAGAAGAATTCTTCCATCGACTTAGTGCTATCCATATGGGGACTTAGGTCGGCTTAACTATGCCACTCAGATGTGAAATAAATTGACCTAATTTTCTAGTGTATACCAAGCCTGAATAACTTCCCCAGACCTGAAGAATTGCTCTGTGTAGCCTGACAGATTTATTGGACCAACTTTTGTTGGTGAAAGGGACAAAGATATTACCTTACCCACCTCATCAATCTTAAATTCTGTTACTCTAGACATAATGGCCACCATTGAAGTGAGAAAGCTAGAAATGGCCAAGTTCCTTAGTGGTCAATACACCTAATAAAAAGATTGCTTCAGACATGCAAAAGTATTTTTCATTTATTTGTAATTATGTTTCCAATATGAGTTAAGCTGCACTCGTCCAAAAAAAATAAAAAAAATTCAAGCTAAGCCAGGTCTACACTACAAACTTACGTTGGTATAACTACATCACTCAGGGCTGTGAAAAATCCACACCCCGAGCGACGCAATTATACCAACCTAACCATCTCCCATCGACACAGGTACCGCCTCTTGCGGAATTGGATTAACTACGTTGATGGTAGAAGCTCCCCCATCGCCCGGCGTGGTAGTATCTTCACTGAAGTGTTACAGCAGCAGGATTTTAAGTGTAGACTTGCCCTTAAGCTTATAATAATTAGCAATTATTCTGTCATTTGCCTGATTTTTCAGGAATGAAAGGCACATAACTAGAAAGTCAAGTGATCTGCCAAACCTGATTAACAAGATTGCGGAGTTTTCCCCAATGACTAAGATTCAAGCACTCAGACTTTGCATTTGAAAATAATGTAAACTAATTATAAGCAATATTTTAATTGTTCTGATACACTGCCAGCTATCTCCAGCAAAGAAGGCATTAATGTAAATAGGGATTTGAAATAAATGAAAAATCTTTTCAAATAATTAGAGCTATTAGTCTGCTTTGCAAGTGAATTTTTATACCTTTACATGTTTACACTCATTTAGTAGATGAGGAACAAATTTACTGGGGAGAAAGGAAGGAACACAAGAATACTGAGTGTTTTACTTGAGATGATATGAACTCTGTTTATAAATTATCAAGTTTCACAACATCTAGGATAAAAGTATTACTGTATTTTTTTTTTTAAATACAGGTGGACCAATGGACGCATGAAGAAGTTAAGTGATTTACTCAAAGTTACATAGTAAGAGGACAGCAAAACGAAGAATGAGTCTTGGTCTACATTTAAAATGTACACTGATGTAGCTATGTTGGTCAGGGGTGTGAAAAACCACACCCTTGATTATCATTGCTCAGCTGCATCTACACTGGGGGCTTCGTCAGCAATGCAGACAGAAGAGTGCTTCTGTCAGCATAGCTAACATTGTCTAGGGAAGTGGTTTTCCTACACAAGCAGAAAAACTGTCAGTGTGTGATGCCTGCCTCTACAGTAGAGGG